ATCCGAGGAAATTTTTGCTCAGCGTTGGTGGGATGGAACCTGTACAATTTGAGTTTCTTCCAAGAAAGCCAAATCATAACAAATAAGGACTTCTACTGTTTCCAAATCTAATTGGCAATTGTTCCTAACTGGAAAGAAGCGATATTCCATCATGTGGATCAACGGACTCGGCAGCAATTACTGGGCTTTGGTTGGAAGGTCCGCCTTATTCCCTTGATGATGATGTTGGCGATACTAAGAAGCGGGATTGGTGCTCTCCAGGCACGCCTTATTCCCATACACTCCTACTTACCTATTCTGATATCATCTACTTTCCCGCAGAACTTGGCGGTTGTTGATAATCATGGTCTGAATAGGTAAGACTCGAAACTGACAGTGACTGAAAGTCATGAGTTTTGCTTAGGTGGACACCGTCAGTTACCCGAGGAAATTTAAGCTCAGCGTTGGTGGGATGGAACCTGTACACTTCGAGTTTCTTCCAAGACAGCCAAATCATAACAAATAAGGAGTTCTACTGCTCCCAGAACGATTTAGGCAATTGTTCCTAACAGGGCCGATGCGATATTCCTCATGTGGATCAACGGATTCGTGTCATAGTGGAAAAAGGTCAGTCTGTTTGGCCGAATTAGACCGAAGTTGCTTTGTGTAGTATTTTCAGGCAACGAAGCAAGACAACATCAGATTACGTCCAGAATCAATAATATGCAATTTCAGCCCATATCTCGCTCCATTGTTCACCATACCTTTTATGTTCAGGGCTGTTCATGTCGCCAGATTTTCAATACCATTAATAAGTTTTAATAAATCATACAATTTGTCTCAAGAGTTTGTTTTCGAAATCATTGCCTATTACCATTATTACCATTAGCTATTGCAGAGCAGTTTGATAGAATATGCTCTGCCTCCTCTGTCTCTGAGTCAATATTGGTAGTTCCTTTTTCTCCCATTGGGTTGTTTTTGCGAGTAGTAATTTTGCTTGTCTTATGTGTGGCATACGTTCCCACTATTTGTGTTCTCTAGTAACCCAAGATTATTTTTATTAATTTTTATTTATTATTTATGCCCTACCTTTATCTGGAGTGTCTTCTGAGTTCTCGTAAGCTGAGCTCATAACCTGGAGGGGGGTTAAAATATTTATCCAAGTTTTCTTAGGGTATTTAGGTAGTTCTAGACTTAGACGTATCATTTCAGACAAGGTCTTGGCATGATGGCCATTCTGAAAAAGATTTGTGTGTGTGAAACGATAAAACACACAACTGAGGAAAGAGATCGATTGGTCGGCGTCAAAGTTCTTGATTGTAGGATTTAAATAGATGGTTGGGGTGCTCATATTGTTTCGGATGACAGTTTTAAAAGTCAAGTCTGTTTGTACCTTCCAAAGGAATTAGCAGTAAGTTTTGTGTTGGTCTAGTATGCATGAAGATTTTATGAGCCGCTGGGTATCTGATACTATTACATTCTCAATTAATTAAGGTTTTTAGTTGAGATAAAAAAGTCAGTGTCACGAGCGGGATTCGAACCCACGACCTTCGGCTAAATACGCCGCTGCTCTGCCACTTGAGCTATCGTGACTTCGATCCACTCGGACACTTCCCATCTCAACCCCACCTTTTTGAATTTTCCCCCCTTTTTTCCATTTTTCTAATGTCGAATCTCGCTCGTGACACTGACTTTCTTATCTCAACCAAAAACCTTAATTAATTGAAAAGAATTTATTTGGTCAAGCGGACCACGAAAACTATAAACAACAAATAAAACTATTATTACAGTACTCGAGTACATTACTGAAAAAAATATTCATGTTAGTTTTTGGTTGTAAGTTTATTTTTGAAGGGTTTTGTTGTTTACTTATATCATCTCTAATACTTGTTATTTCAATGCTGAACAATAACAAAATCGAAAAAGACTAGTTTAGTTTCTCATTTCGAATTGTGATAATTTCTTTATAACGAATGAAAATGGACTAAGCAGAAGGCACCGAAATGAAGGTGAAGTTACATAGGTAGAAGTCGGTTGGACTGGTTTTTACTTAAAATATGAACCAAGTCGAGGTTGAAGGAGAAGAAATGAACGCTATACAAACTCATCCATGCAAATTCGATACCCTTTTAGCTCGGAAATTTGTTGGGGGTGTTGTTTCATGGAAAGAAAAGCTGATCAAATAGTTTTAACGAAATGGTTCTCTGACAGCTCAGCGATACGTAAATGAGGTACTGAGATGTAATGCTGCCGATGAAATGAGGGACGAACGTTTCATTTTTCGATATACGGAACCCGTTCGCATACTGCCATGATCATCACAGATTATTTAAAGAGCCATGAAATCAAAGCAAGGACATATAGTCCAGACGTCAATCCGATCGATACTTTTGGAACCATCTTCTACAAGAAGTGAATAGTAATTTTTACGAATAGTAATTTTTATGCAGGACTCGTGAGCCGACCAGTTCCCGGACCTTTTAGGGATGGGGTACGGGCCTACCCAGGCTTTTAACCCCTCGGGTCCTGGTCGCCCGCCCTGCGTAATATATATATACCCANATTTTTACGAAGGGATTTTTGCTAGGTTATATGAAAGGTTCAACTTCGAGGTTATATGAATACCCCCCCCTTTGAACCCGGGACCTTTACAGGGATAAGCGGCCACCGACGCCCCCATAATCATGTTGTATTTCTTGTTAATTTTTGGGATTTCCCACCTTCTGAGTAGATTTTTAATTTCTTGTCATCTTCTTAATCATTTTTACCATGCTTTTAGGATAGGTGCATCATAAAAAACGGTTTGAACGTTCAGGAGTTCCTAAAAACAAATTGATCCTTTTAAAAATCCTCAGAAAATGGTTGGAAATCTGTTCGGATGGGATGGTTCTCGGACAGGTAAGAAATACGTAAAAAAGGTACTGAGACGTCAAGTTGCCCTCCTAGCTGCAGCTGGAATGAGGTTCGAGCGTTTCATTTTCATTCATGAATGGAATATCCAAAAAGCACTGGGATAATGGAAATCCGGACCTCAATCAAGCACATATGGGACGTCGTATTGAGAAGTGATTCGTGCTGCAGATTGCCAAAGGCTTCAAAATTTGAGACACTTTCTAATGGCACCAGGTCTGCCTACTCTCGCTAATTTTACCGATCCACAGACGACCCAGTGTCGGTTCGGCTCTTAACCAACTCGCAGGCCATCACACATCGACAACATTAAAAGATTGGCACAAAATCTCCCAAGACTTATTTAACAATTTTATATTGATGATGTCGTCGTTTTATTAGGGAAATAAATCGATATTTTTTCGATTTTGTTTTATTTTTTAAATTTGATATTGATGAATATTTCTTAATTATGTGAACAGGAAAAAACAAATAAATTCAGTATTTATTCTTATCTCCTTCCTTCGTTTTTGTACAAAAGAGTTAACCAACGCAAAATAGATGTAAAAAATAAAAGCGAAAAAACTGGATTGGACAACATGCAGCAAAAACTGAACATAAAATTAATTTCGATGATGTTAAGATTCTAAGTAAAAAAAGAATGATGCCAAACTAATGGAAATAGAAAATATCTATATAAATTTGGAAGACAACAATATTAACATACAGCAAGACAAAAGAACTTGTAAACAATAACATTTTGAAAATGAACAAAAATTGACAATAAATTAAAAAAAAAAAGTAAATGAAATATGAAAAAAATAAGAGTTTTGATGAAAAGTAATAACAATTAACTTAATAATGCAATATAATTTGTTAAAAAATTATGTAAATGTGTAAATATAAAAGTAATTAAGGTAAATTAGTTATAAATAAATGAACATGTAGATTAACATTATACCACCTGGAAGTGAAAGAATACGTACCTCAAATAATAAGGGTAACCAGTATAATGGTATAACATATAAGAACCTTCGAGTTTATGCTTTTCTAAAATTGAAACCAGGTAGGTGTCCGTTTAAGCATTTTAACCATTTAACTATGTTTTATTTAAATTTATATGGACAAAAATGGTCTTAATATGTAACTTTGTAATTTTTACTATGTGGACTGAAGAGGGGAGGCTGGTGGCCCCGAAATCGATATCGCTGTAATAAACTGACATGTCGAAAAGGTTGTATGTTCCTGAAAAACACCTTAAAAAAGAAAAAATGGGAATAAATTGCTTTCTCAGTTTTTCTAAATTATGCTTTCTCTACTAAATTATGCTTTGGTTCCCTGTAAAAGTTAATCTTTAATTCCTCATTAATAAATATTTAATCTATAATTGAATGAATTTTTATTTAGGTCTATGGAATCTGTGAGAAAATAGCAACAAGGTTAAGTTTTGACTTTTTAATTTTTTTTTTGTTGAGGAATGTATATTTTTGCAGATTTACAATAGGTCCGATTCTAAATAGAGCTTAATAAAATAGGTAAAAATAGAAAGTAAAGAAATGATAAAAGGAAAGGAGGAACAAGCTGAGGTGTGACGAATGAACGTAATAAAACACAGATAGGTCATTTTAAAAACAAATACAATCTAATAAGTGATATATTTTATTCACATTTATTTACTTTCATGGAAGGTATAGCCACAACTATCTGCAGACAATTATAATACATTACTAAATAGTAATTAGGCTATTGGCATTAAATATTATTGCTACTTTCCACTTTTGTTTTTCCCAAATACAATACTTATTCATCACCAAACAATTTTACAAGATTGATATTATAATATCTGTAGAATAACAATTGTTACAAATCAATAGGTCCTTGTGCAAGCAGTACCTACGCTAACACCTATTATGAACAAAATATCCTTTTAACAACATAAACGCTGATATAGGGTATATACACAAATAATATATGTGGGCGAATAATTCCTTTCAACGCTCCACAAAAATGGCGATAAATTTATATATTCCCCACTATAGTTTTAATTTTTTTTATTTTTTTATATATTTTTTAAGGTGGAAAGATTATNGCTTGAGCCGAAGATGTCAAAAAAATAATAAAATGCAAAAACCAATTAACATGAAACCAAAATGTGATTGAAACGAGTGCGGATTGCACTTTTAATAGAAACACTCAGACAAAATAGACAAATAGACAAAGCACGCCCCCAGTACTGATATGCCTTAAAGGTCACAAAGTATACATTATATATATTTTTGTTAGTTTATTATCATGTTACTGGTGACAGTATTAGGAAATAAATATGTATAAACGTAGCTCGAAAGGACGAGCTACTAGTGGAAAGTTTATAATTTAGCGACGAGAGGAACATTTTTTAAATAATTTTTAGAGCTCTTTACTCTCCTTTTTAAACGATAACTTATAAGGCAATCTTGTGGGAGCATTACATTCGAATAGCACACTCCAAGACTTCCTGTGTCGGAAAGTATGACTTGAATATGTTTTCATAATCGATTCATTGAACATTGACAATCTACAGTCGCCCTTCGATGGGGTCGAACCCCGAATCTACGTTCACGTAGGAGTCACATAGAATCGAACCATCTCAAGATTAAAAAAATCACAGACAATAAGATTGATTGCAACAAATAATGTGATAATATCCAAAATTCAATAGGGAGGGACCGAAGAATCTTAAAGATCCGAAAAACGATTTGGTTTCGGTCGTTTCGGCAAGAAGGCAAAAGGGGGTAGGCGATGATGCGCACACTAGTCCGTCTGTACAAAGCGCATTTTTATGTACAGTTGCCTACATCGTCACGGATTCACTTGTCCTCGACTTTAACGTGACTCAGGAGGTCGGGGGTTTTAACTTCGAGACCGTTGACCATTTTCTCTATACTTTTCAATTCACTCGCAGTCGAGGAGGTGTCGGTCTTCGGAGGCGAAGGAGTGGTCGGCGGGGGTGTCGGCGGTTTCGGCGAGCAGGCCCCGCTTCCTGGAGCGACGGTCTCGAACGCGGATCCGATAGGAGAGCCGCCGACGATTGACGGCGGAGGGAGCGAATAAGGAGAAAACCTATGCACTCCGGAGGCGAGAGACGCCGCCTTAAGAGAATGCGAATGGGCGTGCGGTGACAATCCCGCCGTGTACGCTGCGGCCGCCTGTCCGAAAAACGCAGCCGGGTGTTGCGCAGCCAGGGCCAGTTGGGCGTTGAACAGCAAGCTCGACGTCACCCCGTGGTGAGAGGAAAATAGAGATGTCAGCGGTGGACCCGGGGCTAAAACAGGGTGACCCCCTGCACCGTGGTACAGCCCTGGAGAATATGGTAGGAGGTAGGGCAATAGGTGAGGTGCCGGATGAATCGGTGGACCGACGGAGATGTTCGGCGATGGGTACTCTCCGCCTCCGTGGTGGGTACCTACAAACACCAAAAAAACATACATTAAAATCATGAAAAATACACAGTATTTATAGCAAATTTGTCCTGATTAAAGTAGCGTTTATAAAGATATTTTACTAAAAAACACTAAAGTTTAAATGATAATACAGTGGAAACTCTTGCTTAGAGACAGTCGTACTGTAACTCCTTTTGAACTTTTTCGCGAGGTCTTGACATCGCCAGATCCTCAGGACAGCTTTGCTATCTTATAAATTTCGTAATAATAACATTAATAAAATTGAGAGTTATCCAATAATTATCCTCTCACAGCAATATTTACTACCCTCAGCAAAGAGGAATGCTTATCCTCAGAGGATTGTCAGGAAGAGTTCAGGATGAAAGGTGCGTTGGGATGAGGTTCTAGGGTTTTATGGCGTATCGACTTCTTCCGGTTTGGAGAATAAATGGGATTTGGATGTCTAACTTTACTATCCAAGATTAGATAAAAAGTAGGGAGCTTGAACAATGGTTCTGAGATTTTTGGTCACGATTGACTGGATTCATTGAACTTGTTGAACCCCACAATCCACTCCCTTACAGATTGGTTGCATTAGTGATGTGTTAAGTAGTTTATAAGTAATTCATCGATCTATTCAATTTTTTTCTTTTGAGTCGAGTGTGGGAGTTCCAAGTAAGCCTTTTTCCATGTAAAGTACTAAATAGTAGACAATATTTGTTACTGGGAGAGGAAAATAGTTGTATTGTAGTAAATTGGACGAAAGGTAATACGGTGAAGGGGCAAAGTTATTGGCTGGGATTTGCTTTCATTGATACTCTATTTCTTAAGCCATTCTTCCAAGCAGAAGACATGATCCGAAGGCTACTGGTTTGCTGAAAGCTTGGCTTGGTACGTTGATATGTCCTCTACTTAGAAGTTGCCTATACCAATAAAGACTTTAGGAAGACACGACAGTGTTCGTGTCCTTTATTTAGCGCTTCTAAGAGCTAAATACATAACAAATGCGTCTTCCATGCTGTTAACGGAGGTGTCTTTTAAACCTTATCAGAGTTTCGAAAAAAATTACATTGCAATATATGTAGGTCTGGGAATATACGGCATATGGGATTACTACAAACTGAGGTGATGATATCAAATAAGCTCAAGCCATAGTAGTAATGTAAAGGTTGGTTGTTCATTAATTTACCTGAGGGTCCCGGTCCTTGTTCCGCGGGAGAGGGAGGCCTGAATCCTGGTCCGGATTCGCTTTCGCAACTGCTTTCTGCCTCGCTGTCGCCTTCGTGGCCCGTCATGACGACCCTCCGTCCGCTCTCGGCATCACCTGTCAACCAACCTGCTTTCCTTAGCTTTTGCATAAAATGGACGAGAGGTTAATTTGCTAAATGAAGCTTAACGACTTGTTTAAAAGGAGTTCAAAAGATTGCCCCGGGTAGCCGGACCGACTTGTCGGCGGTGTGCTGTGCTATCCTAAACGGGGTATGAAAATCGAAATAATTTTGATACGAAAAAGCCAGTTTGGAGCCTCAGAACACACGCCGACAAATCAAGGACAAAATCGTGAACTCCGTTATTAAATTTGAAATCAATTTTCATTTTTTTTATTTTTATTGACTGCATTTTGACTAATTATTACGAAATAAAGAAACCCGTACATCGTAGCCGCCATGCCCTCGACGCCGTCTACTTCATATCATCTTCGAATCTTCTTTCTTCCTCCACATTCTTTATATTTATTAATTTAAATTTTAACTTTAACTTTGTTGTCAACACTTTTGAAAGGAAAACATGAATGTTAAATCAAAATTGTAATTGATAAATGAAACTACTAGACAAAGCAACAAAGAAAATGTCGACCTCAGATTTCAATTAGATTTATGTGATATTCAGCAAGAAAAGAAGTTAATGTAGAGTGCGAGATGTGGAGCGTCGCTCTTCTTCTTAGTGTCTTCTGAGCCTGGATTCCGATCTTTCTTCGAGGTTCATCGAAATAGCGGATGCCTTCTTGGCTTGTGTGCGATTCTTCATTTTCTCTTCTTCCCTTCTACATTCTTCATCTTCGGCAAGTGTGCCATATTTGCCATCGGCCGCAAAAATACAAATATTGAACAATAATATGGTCAATTTAATTGAGCAAATGGTAAGCAGTCTTCCATAACTTCTCCTTCGGTGTTCTTTTGATGGTAAGAAAAAAAATGGAACAAGTTGAAATTTTGAAAACAAATTTAATCCGGAATTCAGATTTTTCCTTGATTAAATAACAAATATATTTCGGCCTTAACGTTAAAAATATTCTGAGGCTATAACAAGTTAATGATAAATGGCCAATTATTTTAATGACGGAGACGGATCCAACTGAAAACAAAATTACGTCTGAGTTTTCGGGCTTTGCGCATTTATCGGACATTAAACTAGATAAAATGAGAATAATTGTTAAGCGTCGATACCTGGGTGATGATGAGGCGGAAGATGAAGAGGATGAGGCGGTTCCGAAGTCCCGACGACATCCAAAAGTTTGTCGTCGTCCGCATCCGCCCTCGAGTCTATCGAGCCGCGTTTTAACTCTTCCGGATGCCTTTGAGCTGCCATCAACGCTTGCCTGAAATTAAAATTAAATTGTCTTACATAAAATAAAAATGAAAATCAGAAATAAAAGAGAGTAGACCAGAGGAAACGTTTCGTAGGATTGCGTTTAAAATTGATTGAGCCGGGATTTGATGAACAGCGATACCGAAGGGGTGCGGACAGCGGAGGGTGGGCTTTCTAAATCCACGAGGGAGCAAACATTTCCATCTGTCTACGCTTTGATTAGGGGATCCCAATGGAAGAGAAAAAAAATGTTTTACCCTCTCCATCACAAATCACGGAAGAAGCCAAAAGTTAAAAGCTCGACCAAAGAGGTCCTGTGCTCTCGCTCAGATTACCTTTTCATTAAATTATTTCCTCTATTTTCTTTATTTTTGCCCGTTATTAGTCAAGTCTGGAACGTTAAGTTTTAAAATCTATGCTATTTTGTTTTTAAATTTCGCATGTCTTTTTTAGTTTGATTTCAGAATGGATTGTTGTTGCAGATCTACAATTCCAAGGCCTCTGGAGTTCTATTTCGAATTTATCGTTGTATTCCCTTTGAAGTTCACTTTGCCAGGAACGGTCTGGATCGATTCCTTCGCTAAACGCCTGAAAATTTCATTAACAACTGAATAATGTAATAATTCCTTTGATCTGGAGGAGCCTTTATTGACTGCACTGCCGTGATTTGGTGGACCGGTGCGCATCATCATTCACGCGATCAACCCCGTTCGTATATTTTCTAGGATTTTATACATTCTAAAAGTCTAAAACAAAGATTATCTTTTCGATACACCCAGTCAAATACAAGTAGTGCTGATACAAAACTAATTCAATGGTGTTATCTGCCTTGGTTGGTTATCGTACTTTATAAATATCTATTTAAAGGCTAGTGTCTCTTTTACTGGATAGGAGATCCGTATTAGCTGAACGCTCGGCTACTGAATAAGTAATAAAGCAGGTTTTTTCGCTCGTGAGTGGGGATTCACGTACATGTTTGTCGATGGACATCTAGGTACCGCACCTTATCCGCAGTCGGAAGGAGGGATTTTTTCGCTGAGAATTAAGGTTATGTTGGAGGTTTTTTGTAGGTTTAATTTCATTCTTTCCTTCTCCCATCAGGAGTCCAGTAGTATGAGGAGTTGTATAATCCTAGTCGCACCTTGTCCGCAGTCGGAATAGGGATAATATTGAAGTAAACTGAAGGAAGGATCTTTTTCCGAAAAGTTAAATTATGAAGGAGGATTTTTCTAGGTTAAATAATATAGTTTTCTTTTATCATGAGGACTCCCGTAGTTTGAGCTGTTGAAGGGAGTAGGATATTATTTGAGTAAACTGGAGGAAGATCATTTCACGGAGAGTTAAGGTTATAGGAAAGGATTTTCTAGGTTAAATTTTATTCTATTTCTTTTATATCAAGACTCCAGTAGTGTGAGGTGTTGTATAATCCTAGTCGCACCTTGTCCGCAGTCGGAAGAGGGATATTATTAAAGTAAATTGGAGGAGGTATTTTTTTTCGCTGAGAGTTAAGGTTATGTGGGAGGATTTTTCTGGATTAAATTCTGTTCTTTTCTTTTCCCACCGTGACTCCAGTAGTTTGCGGTATTGAATAGCGTACATAAGTAACGCACCTTTGCCGCAATTGGGAAGGAAATATGAAATAAACCGGAGAGGAGATCTTTTGGTGGAGCTTGGGGTTTCGTGTGGACACGATAGGATCAGAGTTGCTTGATCTATCGTAAGCAAAGGTCGGGGGTGGTTTGAGGTTGGGATGTTAGTTGTGTACACCTGGCAAAGTCTGAGGGTGTTACAAGTTAATTATTTACTTAAACTTTGTAATACACGTTTACACATGTTGCAAAGAACGAAAATTTTGAAAGGAACAAAAGTTAGAGTTGATAATTGTGGCGAGTTATATTTATAAATTCAGTTAGATTGACGTTATCGGTAATTTTTGCAAATGAATTGTCCGAATTCGTACATGAATTGTGTAGATAGCGGCGTCGTGTCAGTGGGGATAGGGATTGATATGCTGGACGAGAAGCCTGTCAGATAACTATGTTTTATGTATGTCTAAGTATCTGGTTATGGGGTTCCCCCGGCGGAAAGCCTAATGTAAATTTCCTCGTATCCGGAAATGATAGGGCAGGGGACCTTGATCCGGGGCATCGTTTGGGGTCGAGCAAATTGAAACCACCCCACGTTCCGGTGGTGGAGGGAGTGTTAAAAAGGTTAAAATAAAGCCTAGGGGTGGTAATTTAGACTGCGGTGGGACTAAATGTCGTTCGTCCCTCTAATAACCAACCCTTAAATGCCCTTACAGCCCCCACACTTTAAAACATCGCGACATTTCCGTAACTCGTTTATTTATGAATCATTTGAAAAACCGGTTCCAATCCATTTGCCACCCCCACAGGTCACACGTGCATACTAATTATATATTTATTACTCGACCTTTAATATAAATCATTCCGAGCGACGCTGTGCCGATTTCAAATCTCCCTCTATCCTTTCTCTCTTCAATCCCACCCCCTTTAAAAAAAATTAATTAACATTATATATTGTTTCATTCATCGTAGTCAGAATCATACAGAAAATTATGTAAATTTTTTTATTTTTGATTTATAAAGAGAGACAGGCCAAAGAACGAAGCCGCAAAGCATTGGAATATAAAAAACAGCGTGCGTAGACGGACCCAGTGCCAGATTAACATGTAAAATATAACCTTACTTGGAATAAAAAATAAATAAATTTGTTGTAAATTTATTTTATTAAAAAAATAAATAAATTTGGAAAATATGTAGGAAATTGTATTTGATCTTATTATCACAAGCGTAGGTTCAGAGCGTATAGTATTGAAGACCCTCCTCGGACAGGTTATAAGAGGGTTTTTGAAGCCTAAAACCTTTAGAGTTTTTGAACCAGTGCAGTTTAACTTGTACAGTATAGCTTATTTGATCTTTCCTGACTATCCGAGAAATCATAGATCTCAAAATAAACCGTGCAGATAAAAAACAATCAAGATTGAGGTAAATGAATTTTACTTTCTTCAAAATTTAAAGCTGGAAATTCCAATTTATTAAAAATGGAACTGAATAAATAATTAGCTCGGGTAATTACTGGCGTTTAGATGACAGCCAGATCGCCGCCAATAAAAGGTGGATACGTTGCATTAAAATTAATTGATGTGCCGGCACGCTTTGCGTTTATCGCCGGTTCGAGATCTGAAGCCGCTTAACACACATGCCCCTCCGTTCAGCACGTGGTATTTTGTTATTGTCAGAAGGCTCATTGCTCGCTGATAAATTAACGAGTCCGACGTTTTATCCAAGGTAGCAATTTACAAGCGTGAAGAAGGACCTAGCCAAATCCAGGCAGCTGTAGTCACAATAAATTACGTTCACGGGCTATCATATTTTTTCGAAAAGAAACCTACTTTCCATGTTATATATAAATAAATAATGGTGATAATAATACTAAAGATGTGATTTTATCTAAACATTATTCAATTATGAATCAGTTAGGAAATATATGATATGAATATTGAGCACACACAAAAACCTAAATTTTTTTCTTTAACTATTTTAGCATTGTTTGAAACTTATATGCGGCAAAATCCCTGTTTCACAATGTATTACTCGTGAAATGCAGCGTTCTGGCTAATTGTACTTTTCTCAGTTACTTAGGGCAGCTGTTTAAAAAAATAGGTCATTGCGTCTTTTTTCCTGGTCTTCTAGGTACCCTAGGTGATGTCTTGTTGTTGCATGCGAAGATGATCTAGGTGGCAATTTCGTCCTTCAATACATAACCTACAGATATGGTTATCTTTCAATAACCTGTGTAGGTGTTTTCTGAGATGGCAGTGGCTGTTATATCTCCAACACTTCCCGAGTTTTACCTTGTCTATAACAACTTTTTACTTGTTTTGGCTAAGGTTTTAATTTTTTTTTATTTGCTAGGGCTAGCGAGGGTTTTAATCGTGAATTTACTACTTCTGGTACCTTGAGAGTTCGTCCAATTCTTCTTCTGTCTTATGTGAACCCAGTTAAACAAAGAGGAGTCTATGTCTCAGCTTGCCATGTTAAGCATAGGTTCTGGGCCTGCAGTCTTGTAGACCTTCCTATGGCCAGGTTTGGAGAGGGTTGTTATTTTATTAGTTTTATATTCCAAACAACATGAGAGTTCGTCCATTTATGCACTGTTTTCTATAGACCCAACCTTACTCCATCTAAGGAAGGAATCTGTATATTATTTTGTTGTCCCAAGTATAGGTACTAGGCATACAGTGTTGAAGACCCTCATCTGGCCTGGTTTGGAGGCTATATTATCTGGAATACCAATTACAGGTTTTGGGCGGATCCTACCGTGCGCAGGTTTAATTGGGGTTATTTAACCATTAGTCTGTTCTTGACTTATGACTGTAACCTGTAGAGTTGGTTCTCTCCTGTTTGCTGTGGATCCATTCTCTATTCTTGGCCTATATGATCTGTAGAATCTTCGTCAGTATGCTTGTTCATTACCCAAAACTCCTTTAAACCTTGGCACCCAAGATATTGTCTTGTTGGTATGTTTTCCCAGGTTTTGGAGATTTTGGACGCAAACACAATGTTTTATGAAGATAGAGAAAACAATATTTTACTGAGAGATCAAATCCCACTTGTTATTTAATGGCTTGTTTCACCACTGTACAAGTTTATTTTAAGGAGCTTAGCGTTTGATACCGTGTACATTATTCATTTACTATTCACCATTTGCGAGACGCTTTCTATTTTAGGGCTATTCTTTTGTGGAGGCGATATGATGAGAAAATCATCTTCTTTTGATGAGCCCATTGAGGCGGTTTCCCTCTAAGGGCTTCTAACACTAATATCTGACGCCTACCAATTTAAAGTTGATCCGGATCATTGTGAGATAGCGGTGGGGCGGTGGAAGGATCAAAAGGGGTTTTCAGGCCATTATAGAAGAAAGCGTCTGGGCCGGAGGGTGGCCTGGAAATAGCCTTTTAAGTTGACACCCTCAAACATCAGTGTGCAAATTGAATTCAAGGAATTAACCCTCTCTTTTTGTACTGGGTTTTATTTAGAGTCCCACCCTGACATTATGTGCCTCATCGTCTATATCTACGTGAATACCCAAATAGCTGCCAATTAGCTGACTTTAATATACCTTCAGGCTTTATTGCCTTACCAGGGTCTTTTCAAACGCGTTTCTTTTACTTTTCTCTTTTTGTTATTCATTTAGATTCTTCTTCGTTATACTTTTGTAAATAATCAACTGTACACCGACGTGTGTAACTAATGTTTCTGTACTTGATAATAGCTCAACGTTCAATTGAAAAAGCAACGCGACGGATAAGAAAAATCGTTATGGGATTAAGTCGATTGTAAGAAGGGGAATTTCCTAGGGTCAGAGCTTGAAGAGCTTAATCGGTGGAAATGAAAGACAAAGCGGTTGAGCGCCACGTGGGTGATGGGAGGGGCCTTAGAGAAGAGAAGTAACGCGGGATGAGAAGACATAAGAGTTAGGCCCCTTCTCGCTAGATAGCTCCGCTACAACAAACCAACTATCATCGATTATTCCTCCATGGTCATGATTAGTCACACCCTAGACACCCCTAATTAAAGGGAAGCCGCAAGAATCACCTCGGTAATTGGTTATTTGCTCGTAAATTCATAACTTTCTAATAGCCCTTTCGAGATTCAATTTTACCGTCATTAAGAAGGTTCACGTCTAAGTCATTGCGAAAAACATGAGATTGTTCTACTGCTTTGAAATGAAATCGAGTACCTACTTAATACAATACAAAGAATGACGTTTAATGTGTCCTTCTTTAAGAAAAGAGGGAGAACACGATGTCCAATTAAAGTTTTTTTTCATCGTCCCCTATCTGATTTCCCGGTAAAGCGCCAGATGCTAAAGTTCGCAGAAAGCTCTCGCAAAAGAAAAAAACCAACCGGTCCAAAACGTAAGGTCGGTCGAGGCGATGAAGCTTTTGATCTGAAAAGGGATAAAGGGCGAGAGACAGGACGAGGCAAAACGGGAAAAAAAGAGAGTGTGTGAGAGGGAAACAACCACATTAGCCTGATGAGGTATTTACGGGCGAGAATAATATAAGGGTCGTTGACAGGGTGAAGAGGGGCTGTGGATTGATATAACCGACGACGTGGGAGACACAAGGCAATAAAAGAGGTAGAAATTAAGTCGAATGTCGGATGAATTTGACCTTCTCCACTTTTTTTTCAGTATTATCAAGAAAATAACAAAAATGGAAGGAAAAAGCAACAATAATAAGTTGAAAAACCACGCCGGTTGATGACCAAAGCAAAAATTAAAAAATGTACTTTTCCATGCCAAATGTAATTTGTAAACATCTAACAATAATCAATGGCTTATATTTTGATTGTCTTCTATCCCAGCTCAATCAAGAAATTAAACGGCCCAATTTATTAATACATACTAATATAGCTTTTTCACTTAACAAAACTTTTTAATTTGAAATTAACTCTTTTTCGCGAAAAAATAACCATTTTTAATTTCAAATTAACTCTTTTTTATGGAAAATTAACGCTTTCTTATTTCAAATGAATCCTTCCTAACTTCAAATAGACACTTTTTAATTTCAAATTAGCATTTTCTTTTAAGCATTAAAAAACTTAGTGTATGGTATGAAATATAAATGAGTAAAATAATATTCTTGTATATTTCCGAATTTCAAAAAAAATAATTAAACAGGTAAACAAAAAATAAAAACAAATAGTTACAACAATACTGCTTTTCCCGTTCTTACTTCTTTTCTTCCTGGTTAAGAAATTATTTAACTATTATAACATAGAAGCATCCTTTATTTTCGTTTCTTTTCGTTTTTTAGTTCTTTTGGATTTAGTTGTTTTTTCTTGAATTCAGTTTCTTTTTCTATCAGAGTTTTATTTCTTTCTATTCTAACGGCATTTTAACTTATTTAAAATATTAATTATTAATTTTCGAACAGTGTTGTGTACTGTTTTGTATTGTATTGTTTGTATTGTATATACTTCTTACTGTAGAAAATTCCCAAGATAAAAGGAGAATTCTTTATTTTATTTTATTCTCTTTTTCTTTAGTGCTTTCTTTTTTAGTTCTTCTTTCTTTACTGTAGTTTTTCTAGTTGAGTTTTTGTTATTTCTTTCTTTCTATTTTAACAATTATTATAAATTTTAATTAATTTTCGTATGGTTTTTTTATATAACGATTTGTTATATTTTTGCTGTAAAAAATTCTAAAATTAAAAGAAGAATCCTTTATTTTAGTTTCTTTTCTTAATTCTTTCAATTTTTCTTTCTTCTTTCTTTCTATTTTAATACTTAATAAATATTGTATCTTTAATGTTATATCATTTTTACGTTTCATTTTCATATGGTTTTTAAAACCGAATTATTTGATATGTAAAAATCTCAAATCAAAATAAGAATCTTCATTACATTTAATTTTATATAATTTTGAATTGTAATTTTAATTAATTTTCATATTATTTTCTAATAGCCTTATTATTTTATTATAAAGAAAAATCGCAAGCATTCAGCAATTTACTTTACGAACTTATATTTCATACCATCTACTATGTTTGTTCTTTTAGTTGTTCTTTACAAAAGGGTTCATTTGAAATTGAAAAGGTCTCATTTGAAATTAAAAAGAGTTAATTTAGTGCGAAAAAGAGTTAATTTGAAATTAAAAAGGCTTAATTGAAAGTTTAAAAAAGTTAAAAGGTTTAATATGAATTAAACAAATGTTACTTTGAAGTTAAAAAACGGTTATTTTCAAATTAAAGAGAGCTACTGGGACGGAAAAAGACTTGTTTTTGTAGAAGGTTATACAATTTTAATTAATATATTCTTTGCTTATTTGCCTGCTCTGCCGTTAATCAAATGTTTAAATTTATGTTTAATTTTATATAAGAAGAGAGTGTAACAAAATTCAAAATACCCTCTTTGAGCATCTCACTAGAAGTTAGAAGTTGAAAAACAAAGTTTATAATTTATAATATAAAAAACCACTCACTTCTTTTCCCTTTTTCCTGCCCCCGTATCCCTAAATCCTTTGGCAAATGGATTGTTATCGATCTTGAGTTGAGTTATCTGAAAGTAAAAATAAGTTATAACAATGGTGGTGTTGGATAGAAAGACAACCCTTTCCTGGAGGGTGTTGTTTTATAATCTGCTCACCTTTTCGTTCTGGTAGGCCGTAACGGCGATGAACTCGGTCTCTTTGAAGACGTAAGTGCGGAAGGTCGAGTAGGGCAGTTTGTGTATGTCGTTCGCCCTGACGAGATGGAACCTCGGCTGGTATTTGTGCATCGAATTCAATATCGTCTGCAACACACCGTCAACCTCCATAAACAGAATAGCCAAGATAGAGAAAAGTTTAAAAACATTATTCGGGTTTATGTTTTTGGGACGGTCAGTAAAGGAGTCAGGTGTTATAAATTCAATGAGACAATCAGTAGGAAGGATCTAAAGCCGGGAAGTGGTGACATTTCAGTTTAGGCCGGTCGCCTGCTACTGAAATTGATATCTTCCAAATAGGAATCTACCCCGAGTCGTCAACAAGCCCTATCTGATTTACCTCCAAACTGCTGTGCACTTTTGAGTAAGCCGGCTTTTATTATAATACGAAAAAGAGATAAGGATCTCGTCATCGTTTCATCCGGGTAGTCGTAAATAGTCGCACGAGACGAAGATTATTCTCGATAACTAGGATAATATTGGTAAAAGGGCACTCGGTCGGCGGGAACTATCCCAAGGTTGAAATGTCAATACAAACATCTGTCCCAGTGTGTGTTCAAGACGGTGAGAGAGTAAAGGGGCATTAGTGGAATGCCCTGTAATGGGCGCCAGGTGGCATCCAACAGCAAACTGCCAATACCGGCTAAGTGAACAACCCCAAAAGCGATAGATTCCCATTAAAAGGCAATTCCCGACACCTGATCTTCCTTTTTTTTTGGTTCCGAGTAAAAGGGTATTAAACTAGCGTTGTAATTTCCTCTATAGGGATAAACGGTAGGAACCGATGCTCATGTTTATTCTAACAGGTTCGCTCTACATTCGTCCTAGTCGTTGGTCGGGGGCGGGGAGATCCAGGGACTTTATTTAATTAGGGATGACCTACTCGCACTGCTGACTTTCACATCCTCGACATTCCTTTACTAACATTTGTTTCCGACACCCGCGTAACGGGGTGGTTAATCACATATGCGGTGGGGGCGGTTTTGGGCCAGGGTTAGCAGATTGGGTAGAGGGGCGGGGGCGAGAGAGAGACAAAGCCCGGTTTACAAACGAGGAAGTGGATGGATTTACGTGGGGGAGATTTGCTTCTTCAGTCAAATGCTAATTCCTCGTTAAATACAACGCTTGTCCGAACCGTTTCATTTGCCAGATTCACCAAAATCCAAGTGAGAACCGGATTAGAATCGACTTAGTCTCCTTGGTCCCGGGATGTAATTAAAGAAAATAAAAATTAACGCCCTTCTAAAACCTGATTAATCGATTAACGTTTTATATAGCTCCACTCTTAAATTTAACAATTTTTAAACACAAAATTTAAGATAAAACAGTTAATCTCGATCTTCGGAACAGTACCCCGACGCTCTAACCACCTGAAGACCGTGGGTTCGAATTCCACCCGCGAGATTGACTTTTTTATCATAACCCTGATTTAAATAGAAAAATCTTAAATTGGTCGATACTTTCGTACAATTAGCTGGATGATAGATCTCTTTTAGTTAAAATTATTTTAACTTTGTCACAACAATTCATGATGTTTAAAATTAAACAAGTTGGAATAAAAATTGAGTTCATTATTAATGTAAAATGTTTACTTAATATTGGAAAAAGTTGTTATTTAAGATGACTCAGTTTAGCTCGTACACATTGAAGACCACTCGCCAACTGCTGCACAATGTTTTAGTGTGAAATTGGTCTTTCGATTTTTATTATTTTTGATTATTAGAAATTTCATTCGATTATGTTTTACAGGCCATGCCCTAATTTGTGTTCAAAAGGATTGGAATCTGGCCTGGCAGAAGCTGATAATTCAATCAGAACAAAGTAAGAATATAGATATCATGTCAGATAGCCAAGGAACCATCAGAGCACTAAGTTCAAACATCATTAGCATAAAGATGGTGCTAAATTGCAAAACTAAACTAAATACATTAGGTATGCAAAATAACGTCACCCTCTGCTGGGTACCAGGGAATGTGAGAGTAAAAGGGGCTGCTATATCGCTGATAAGTCCTGACCCCTTCTGTGGCAAAGGGGTTCATACTGTCAATGAACATAGACAAAAGGACAAAATTAAAACGAGGAAACATTAAAATTCTCTCATTGGACATAAACAATCCAAGAAACTTCTAGCAAATTTTGGACGGAAAGAAATAACAAAATGCATCAAAGGAAGCAGGAAATAATTTCGAATCCTAACATGATTCTTAACAGTCCACTGCAGACTGAATGGGCATCTGAAGTAGGTTGGTAAAAACTAACATGGCATGCGCAGATTATGCAAAGAAACAGAGAAACCACCAATATTCGTATACCAAACGACATTTGCTCACAGGAGGAAGTGTTTTGGGACGTACAACGTAACCGTAGAAATTCATGCACTGAAACCGGGACTAAAGTTCCTTGATGACCTAGGACTACCTGTGTCCTGTAATCACAGAATAGGGGATACAATAGCTCTTACAAGGTGCAATGCACGACACATCCAAAATGATACATCCCCATGTACCATGTACCACCTGAAACCAGGCGAGATGATTATCTTTTTGACCTGAACAACGTTTTGACTGACTTCTCTAGAAAATATCACTTCGACGGCTGATTTGATTTTAAAAATTGATCCGATTAATTATTCTTTTTATCTAAGGTTTTTAGTCGAGATGAAAAATTAGTGACACGAGCGGGATTCGAACCCACGACCTTCGGCCAATACGCCGCAGCTCTAACCACTTGAGCTATCCTGACTTCGATCTCCTCGAACACAAACTCCCAATCTACGATCATTCGAATTTTCTCTCTTTTTGCCATTTTTCAAATGTCGTGTAATCAGGATTCGGAACGAACCGAAGGTCGTGGGTTCGAATTCTGCTCGTGACACTGATCATCACAACCAAAAACCTTAGATTAAAAAAATAATTGATTGGAATAATTCATATAGTCAATTGTGACCACTAAGCATATATGGTTTAAAAATTGGTCTGTGTTGGTTTTAACTGCGTTCACCGCTACTTTTATATTTTTATTGCAGATTTTTATTGCCGCAAATCCACCAAACTTTTCGTTAAAGCCCAGTATTTCTGTTATAAGCTCTCTGAAGTGATGGGAAATAAGTCTGGGAAAGGAACGGGCTGAAATATTCTTTTACCTGGTTCAAAGGTAGTTAGTTCCTGGGCAGAACTGGCAAGACTGTCCTACTGTTTAAAAACTTAAAATTTTTTAACAAGTTGGAAAAGAAGCTCGCTCAAAAGTTTCGCTAATAAAATATTCTGTTTAAAACTGTTCTGGTTTACACTTTAGAATAAAAGCCAGGTCAAAACTTCCCGGGGTGGCTGTTAGTCTTGAGAATTCGAGATTTTAGGCCAGTGGTGTGTGATAGCCACTAATTAAGAGAAACAAAAGTAAAAGTGAATAATGCCACCTTGGTGGCTCCCATTACTAAAGACACTACTTAACAAACAAGTTAAGCGGAGCGAAGATCAGATATAGTGAGTGGTGCCATTAGTAGTCTAGCAACGAGCAAATTGCGGTTTTATGTTCGGAATCTGGGAATCTGAGACCACCACTTGGATCGGAATATACTAATATCTGCTAATGAGGTCTGTGTCGGCGCCGGTCCTTATCAGATCCGACCCACCGGTAATTACACCGAAGCGGTAGCAGTCTGACTCCCTCCTTTCTATCTGTCCCTTTGTAAAAACTGGAAGAACAATTGTACACGGAATAAAAGAGCCGGTCGCATCAATCTCGGCCCGGAATGCCTAGCTACTAGGTCTCCCTTATTAACACCTAAACCCGGCGACAAGTCTCTAGAGGACACAGGTAAAAAATCACTTTTTATTAATCCTCTCTTCTAAGGACCCACTTTTACACAAATTAAAACCGTCACTCGCATTCTTTATATTGGAGACGATTTCCAACGTGGCTGAAACCATCTCCAATTCTGTGCAACCTGGTGACTTTCAAAACATGTTCTGCCTTCTATATGTCCATCGTTTATATACTCTCTATATTAACCATTTCGAAAATGTGTGCTTTCTCACTTTTTTCTCTCTCTTCCTTTCGAAGTATGCACATGTAAATAAATATTAGAAGAATTGGCTTGCTTTTTGCTAAATTTATTGGAAAAAGGTTTGTTCAATAAGAAGTCTGACCTATGCTTTTTTAACTTTTTTACTCTGAAAACTTTTCATTCCTCGAGGTTGGTTTTTCTATATTTATAGGTAACATATATTTTTCAGTTCAATTAATATAAGCATTACGTAGTTTTTTCTGTAAAATTAAGCCTTGTTAACTTCAATTAACCTTTTGAATTTCGATTTAACCCTTTGTAACTTTAACTTTACCCTTTTTCATTTCAAATTAATTCTTTTTAACTTCTTCTTAATTAATTCTTATTCTTTTTTCTTATTCTTCTTATTAATAATTCTTATTAATTCTTTTAACTCTTCAACTTTAAATTAACTCGTTGAACTTCAAATTAATACTTTTAATTATATATTACCCCGTTTCATTTTTAAATAAACCATTTTTAACGGTGTATTAACATTTTCTGGTTTCAAATTACCCTTTTTAATTTCAAATTTACCATTTTTAGCTTCAAATCAGCTTTTTGAATTTCAAAGTAGCCCTTTTTCATTTCAAATTAATTCTTTTTAATTCAAAATTAACTCCTTTAACGTCAAACTAGCTACATTTAATTTCACATTAACCCTTTTCAACTTTAAATTAACTCGTTGAACTTCAAATTAACACTTTTAATTATAAATTACCCCGTTTCATTTTTAAATAAACCATTTTTAACGGTGAATTAACATTTTTTGGTTTCAAATTAACCCTTTTTAATTTCAAATTTACCATTTTTAGCTTGAAATCACGGTTTTAAATTTCAAAGTAACCCTTTTTAACTTCAAATTAACTCTTTCTAATTTAAAATATCTCCTTTTAACGTCAAATTAGCTGTTTTTAATTTCAATGAAATCCTTTTTAACTATAAATTAACTCGTTTCAACTTCAAATTAACACTTTTGATTACAAATCGCCCCTTTTTAATTTTAAATAAACCATTTTTAACATTAAATTAACACTTTTGATTTCAAATTAGCCATTTT